AGGTGGCAGGAGCTCCATTCTTATGCAGTATATTCTCAACACTGAATACATACAGTACTTGACTGTGTATTTTCAGTTGTTTGAGGAGTGTTATGTCTTTCCTTTTATACACAGTATTTATTGCACATTTCTGAGATTAAAGTGGACCTATCATGCTATATTTGAATAATATAATGTAGGATCATACCTATATAAGGCATATTTATACTTTTTATTTTTCAAAATACCAAACAGATCATGCATTTTAGCCATTCCTCATTTCGCTCAATTTAACACTGTCTTTTCATGGGCTGATTCTGTGAGAACAGCACCATCTACAGGCCTGGCATATGTACTACAGCGTCTCCAGCGCTTTCCAACGGCAATGTCCGTGGCTGTCTCCTCCTGATTGGTGGAGTTGGCCCAATAGCCGTAGCGCCACTTCTGTGACGTCATAGAAGTGTTCCTGAGACTGCCAAGGCACACNCTCCAGCGCTTTCCAACGGCAATGTCCGTGGCTGTCTCCTCCTGATTGGTGGAGTTGGCCCAATAGCCGTAGCGCCACTTCTGTGACGTCATAGAAGTGTTCAAATCTGGATCAGTCTGTATCAGATCCGTTGCAGCCCCCTAAGAGATTTGGGTATGGAGGAAAATACAGAGGGTTGTGTTTTCTGATACTTGGTGAGTTCCCTGGAACACCGGGGACACATATTCATGTACAAAAGACGTACAAAAGTGCATTTTGCATGATAGGTCACCTTTAAGTTTAAATGTAAAAATAATATTCAATATCTTATCCCTTTTTCGTTTTTTTAACACACATTTAGGGATTCACTTTGAACCTTTTGAGAAAGCATCCCACTGGATCTAAAATAAATCAACAGGAGTGACCAAAACATCAGTGTGAAAAGACAGAGTATAGAGAGAATACTGGACTTCTAGTTAAATGTGAGTGGGACAAAGTGAAAAACTGTCCTCTACACTCGGCCCAATATGGCCCCCATGTGTGAATTCCAGCCATTCGGGACACAGCAGCCCCCATTAAACAGCAGCCAGGGTGATGGCGTAACTGCAGCTTTAGTTGATTGAATCTATGAAACAAAGTTTATATCCATTGAAAACCATGCATGCAAAAGTGACAGACATTGTTTAAATCACAGTGATCACGTTTGGGGGAGTGGGACAAACCAGATGTCAACTGTAAAAGTGTTCCTGTATATCACTTTGTTCCTGTTTTCCCTCACTTGCTGTATTTTTTTTTGGTAACTAATTTGTTTCACCACATACTCCGGATTGGAGCTTCATCGAACAAAGATGGATGTGTTGTTGCAAAAGATCAAATTGTTGTCAGACATGCAGTGCAGAAGATGGGATTCTTGGAGCATCTTGCAGTGTTTACCCTTTACTCCCTTGCACACGCACAGATGCTCCTCAACGCATACATGCATACAGAGATAACTCAAATCTGCTATATTTAGCTTTTTCACTTATTTTGAGGCCTTGGCTCTACAGGATGTTTCTGATAAACAATTCTGGATAACACATTTTGTTTTGCCCAACAAATTAGGACAATGATTGTCAAAGAGCCTCATCCGGACAACATACCAAAACAAATTTGGTTTTGGCATTTGTTTTAACGCAAATGTGGAAGAAAGGGGATTTCCAATTTATCCTGGTGCTAGTAGAGATTTTGTTGAGTGTGACTCATTAAGTTCCCTGCACTTTTAATCGCATTAAAGGTCAGTGAATAAAACACGTTCATCTACGTGCGCGTAAGGTGCATGCAAGTTATTCTGAGATGTCTTTTTAAATCAAATAATATGTCATACCTAAAATGTTTGCCCTTTACTTGCATTGCCTTAGTCTTTGAAATGTTCCAAACAGCATCCTCTTTGCTTAAAGAAGCAACGGGGGTTTGGGGAATGTGGGGTCAATTTGAAGAAACTGAAGCATAACAATCATTGTTTTTAGATCTCACAAGACTCAAGTCTTTAAAAGTCAACTGCAAATAACCCCAACATTTGGTCTTTTGTAAAAAAAACATCAGCTGTCTTTACTCTTTCTTTTACTTCCTGGTATTTTACTGGCTCAAATCTTGTTTAAGTTGGAGTACTCGATCGATTTTTCGCAGTTTACTCCAACATTGGCTGGCTCATGTTGGTTAGTATTTAAAAATATATAATTATGCATGAGAACCAGACAGTTTATTCCTAACAAACTTTTTTGTCAAGAAATGGCACCTACATGTCCCACAATGTATCTTGACTTTAACTGTTCAGTTGGAGATGAAGTTGTGTGTAATGCTAGTAGTATAAAAGTGGCGAAGAGATGAGGAGCAGGATATAGGTATGTTAAACTTACTTATTTTGATTCCACATCTCCTTTTATCACTTGTAATGTTCAGACATAACTGACATTCAATTATTCAAACTTCACATGGCTCTAAAAGCTAAAAGAAATGTGCTTAAAAACCCCACTCTCCAAGTCGTAACTGTCTAGTTAGTTAACATCTCTGGCTCTAACACTACAACTTATGTGAGAACATTTTACACATTTTGACAAAAACAACCTTTGTTACATTTGTTACCAGCTTATGTAAGTTAGATGTTTCCATCACACAGGCCAACGGTGCACATGTGGAGTTAAAACGTACTGGCCTCGAGGTTTACTTTGTGTTGTTCAGTGTAAAAAGTTTACCAGCTGTTGATCCTGTGTGACTAAACTAATTATCTGTTACATGACCCTTTGAATTCTTCTGTTTTGCTCCACTTTGTGCGCGTGTGTGTGTGTGTGTGTGTGTGTGTGTGTGTGTGTGTGTGTGTGTGTGTGTGTGTGTGTGTGTGTGTGCCAAGCTGCTCCACTGTTACATTGGCCACCAAATGAAACCCATGTAGCTCTGCAGCCAATACTGGATCAGTGGCATGGATTTCAACATCTTTATATACACGCAGAAGGCTCTGAACGAGCTGCTCCGCTGGCTTCCAACACAAAACATAATTATCAGCAGGCTTACTTGGTCCCATTGGTGGTAGTGAACGACCCGTGGCTAACAGATGAACTTCAAACATTTGGACGATTCTGGTATCAATTTCGGGGAAATGGTGTTTCTGGGTAGATGCATGGGTATGAGTGTGTTGGAATGTGCATGATTTAGAAACTTCACATTCTGGTGGCTTCAAGATCAAAGTCCTGCTGACTGATGTTGGTCATTAAATTACCTCATAAGATCCTCATTTGTTCAAACTGTAGCATCAAAAGCTAAAATAACTTGTCAAGAAAAAGAGGGGATGGAAAAAGGGGCTTCAAAGGCATGCAGGGATGTAGAAGTAATCAGCAAAAGGGCGTTATGCACTAAGATATAATGCAGAATAATTTGACTTTTTGGGCTGGAAAGTGTTTATCTAAATAGCTTTTATTTATTTATTGTGTGACCATTAGTTGTTGTGGGTGTGTGGGATTTCAGCCTTTGCAGACGATTTACAAGCAAACAAACCTCTATAGCACAATACAGGAAAGGAAAAACCCTAAAAGCATAATAGGGCCACTTTAAGTCAATAAATGAAAATGTATTTCTACACTGGTATTGCTACTTTTACTCAAGTTGTGACCTGAGAGCCACCTCTGCTGATGTCTGTGCAAAAATACACAGTGGTTTTCCAATTTTTTGGATGAGTATGAATCTTATAACCCACTAGAATAATACACACATCTTCCCTTTTTTGCAGAGGCAGGAGGGGAAATTAAAGAGGTGAGAATCAGCGATGCCAGACAGCCACTGGAGCCGCCTCGTCAGCTGGAAGGCCGGATGTGTGTGTCGGTTAGATTATTACACCTGCTGTTAAGTCTCACACACGCATAGTGGAGGTTAGCGTGAGCAAGCTGAGAAGACTGCGATCCGCTGCCAGATAGGGATTATAGCTTTGACATGTGTGTGTTTGTAGGAGTGTGTGTAGGTGTAGGTGTAGGTGTGTGTTCAGAGAAACTGTTTTTCTGTCTCACAGGCCAAGGCCATGCACTGAAGTTGCTCTCACACCACAATGTTAAAACATTTGTTAGCAATTATTCTTAGCCACAAACTGACTTTCAAAAACACATGGACCCTCCCTCCCTCCCTCCCTTCTGTTTTTCACCCTGTCCCCTTTCCAGTCCCTCCTTCCCTCCCTCATTTTCCAGTTCCTTTGTTCCCCCTCCCATCTCTCTCTCTCTCTCTCCCTTTCTTACCACCCTTCTTCTTTCTCGTCCTCCCCTCATGCTCCATTTCCTCCCTCTCTCTCTCTCACATGGTTTCTGTCTGAGGAGGTTTAGTTTCCTCAGGCTCTGGATGGGAGAGGGATGATGCCAGAAAGCTGCAGGCAGACACACATGTTCAAAACTTAAGAGGAGCTTTGGGCAGTTTCCTTCTGCACTAATAGATTCAAAAGAATATATGAAATAATCTACAAATCAGGCTGCAGAGGTGTCTCTTTTTTGTTGGCCAGACGGAATAACACTCAATGTGGCAGAATCCTCAGGTGTCCGCTTGTTGTTCACCAGTTTTCAAACATGTGGAAGTAAGACTTTTCGGGACTTTTGGGCGTTCTTCTTTCTTTGGAAAACTGGAAAACCTTTCACGAATAAGTTTGCTGGCACCTCAAAGGTACATTGCTGGCTGCCTTTGTTGTTCCTGGACACTTGCTTTGTGGAAAACAAGGTGAAGGGGACTGCAATATCACCACCATCACTTTGAGCATCAGAACCACAAGTTGTTTAAAAAGGATTCTTGAGAGAGGAATCATGAAAGGTACAGTAATTTCTGTGATTTCTTTCTTGAGCACCTACACATTCTATCTTCTTAGTCAATTGGTGCAAAACACATCTTAATGATACCAGGGTGCATTTTCCAGTGTGAAGAATACATTTAAATGTAGACAGGGACAGACCCTGGCATTGTGGCATGCAGGCAGGCACCTGCACACGGCACCAGCGCCTACATATGCTTCTCATCTGTTCTGAAACCTGGCAGCGTGGATCCTGAGAAAGACCAGAGTTTGTTGTTCTTGGATGTGAGGCTTTGATCAGTCAGCTTTAAATCTCTAAATGTGTGTGCGTGCACACCACAGCCCCGTTTCATAAAACATAAAATGTCCTATAGCTCTGCCAATCTACCACAGATTGACTTAATATCCCGCTTTAAGGAGAAGGAGTGAAAACATAACATTTAAATTTGAGCTTTCTCATAACATGGCATGAAAGGGGAGCTGCCCCAGGCTTTGAAGAGGGCCGGGGCTGGTACACGGTTCTCAGACGTACAGTAGGAGAAGTGAAAGGCTGACAGAAATGGGAGGATACGGTGGGACAGGAATAAATCCCACATGTGGGCAGCAGCTTCAAAAGATGCTGACATATTCATTACTAACAGAAATCTGCATATAATTGACTTTTCCTGTATTTATTTTTGTTGATAAGTGAAATCTTACTATATTCTTCCCATTTTAAAAACTTGGAGCTGCCTCTTTCATTGGGTTTAGTTTTGATGACATTCCAGTTTCTGTGGTGGCTCTGTTTTATTGACCTTAATGCTATAAAGCTAAGCTCACACCCAAACAGCAATTATTCAATCATAGCTAAGCAATTAAAACAGTTTTATTTACACTGCAGCAACACCAGCCTGCATTTCTCATGTAATGTTAAATGTGAAAACACATGCTGAACACAGCATGTGCTAAGGCAAGCAGACAAACAGTGTTAGTGTTATGTTACAAAATCTGATCTTAATTTTTCCTGATCATACTTATTATACTACATCTAACTAGCTCCACACTGCAATACAAAAGCAAAGCTGTTACTTTAAGTCTTAGCTCCTACATGTATAGTCACCTGGTAGGGATGCTGACTTTAGACTCAATCTATATACAGTTCATATTTAAAATCCTTTATACAGGGTTCTCACAAGTAAGATTAAAGTCAGCTGAAAACAAAATTGTTCAACTAACATAATTTGTTACAAAAGATGAAAACTGCTAGACATTTGTCATTGTTGCCGCTAAAATTGAAAGCAGTAAATAAGAAGCAACTTTTGGCTTATTCAAGGAAAAAGAAAATGATTAAAGGTCCCATGTCATAATTCCATTGTTGAGCTCTACTCATGGGTCTACTAGAATATATTTATATTGTGCAATTTTCCAAAATCACATTGGTTTCTCATACAGCATCTCTGTATAGTATGTGTATTCACTCTCTGTCCTAAACGGCTTGTTGGAGCTCCTACCCCCCCCCCTCCCTGTGAGCCCACTTTGCTCTGATGAGTCTCCCACCGTTACAGCGGAACATCAGTGATTATGTGTTACAATGGCGTTAGCAACCAGAAAATGACACCAGTAATGACAAACAGATGAGAATGCTGCGTGGGGTCTGGGTGCCGTGTTTGCGGGACGTTGCGCAGCTCGCTACTGCGGGGAGCGGACAGTGTGAACTGGGTTCATTTCCTGCTTGCAGCGTGGGGTCTGCGAGAGAGCGAGACATCGCGAATGGACGCGGGAAGGGGGGGGGGGCGCACCTACATTGTAAGCGCGCCACAGTTTTGCCGCTGCGAGGCTCCAATTGCACCCCCCGCCCCCCAGCGCGTCACAGTTTCGCCGCTGAGAGAGTGTGTGTGTGTGTGAGGAGCTCCACGACCCATGGGTCCATTTGGGTATGGGCACACGTCACTCACTATACCCAGGAAGTAAACAATGGAAAAAGAGAAATCTCCAACGAGGCGCTCTGGGGCAGCATAGACAGGTATTTTCTGTCTTAGAGTTTTACTCACTACAGGGTGTACTTTGAGGTTTAGTGACTTTGCAGACCGTTTACATGCGGAAAAACCTTCATAACACACAAGGGGACGGGTAAAAACCGGAACAGCATGACATATGACCTTTAAATCTTCCATAGACCATTCACTTAACATCATTTGTGCCGTAAAAGATATGAAAGCAGGCATCACTGCAGGTCTTTATAAACTGTCATTGTGGATATCACTGCTACTGCTAATACCCGTACTAGTGATTTCGGTAGTGGGTGTTTCCAAAGTGTTTGTGTTATAATGTTATTCAATATGGCTTAGTCATTTTCTTTGATGTGGATTCTTGGATTTAGTTTTGCAGAGTGTATAACAATTGTACTTCTTTACATAAACACCTACAGGCAATCATGGACAGCTTATGAGTAAAAATAAAAGGGAATCAAATCAAACTAAAGTTTAGGTAAGCACATGTCTCTGCTCCAGGCGAGTGTCCAGGAGAGAAGCTGCCTTGAACTACGAGTCGATACAGCAAATTAACTCTCAAGAACATATACAGTTCTCTGCTCAGCCAAACAGTACAGGAGGTCTGTTGATGTGGTTTCCAGCCCTGCTTGACCAGAACCAAACATGCTGCCTCATACATTCCTAACAGGGAGGAGGGGGGGTGAGGCAGGTGTATGGTTGGCAAAGGAAAAGGAAAGATTGAGCAAAGAGGAGAAAGGGAGGTGCAGAAAGAGACATTCAGTTTTTTATTCCACATTTGCTGTGGCAGCGTTATACATTTAAAATCATTTTGAATTTGGATAAAAGGAGAACAAGATGAATGTCCTATTGACTTGATTTTTCTGTCTACACTGTACACTTTTTCCATTTATTTTTGCCATCTTGGAATAAATATCTGAAATGTCTCTGCTGTACTTCTTCCTGTTTTTAAACCAGCTCCAGCAGCATGCACGTAAAAACGGCTGAAACTGCAGCAACTGGTCACATATTAAGAAGTCAGTGGTTAGAAGTAGAAGCTGTTTGTTACCACCATAAAGCTGTTTGGTTAGGTTTGTTAGTTTGTTTGTCTGCAGGATTACATTAAACCTACCCTGCGTGAAACTTGGTGTTAGGGTTAGGGTTATAGCATTGGCCAAGAAAGAACCACTTAATCCAAATGCAAATCACAGATACACACATTGGTTTTTATTACTTTTCAGTTTGTTTTAGATGCATTTTATGGGCAACATGTAACTCTTATAGTGAATGGCCAGTATTCGCACAGTTAGGATTGAGTTAAAAAATACCTGATAATGCTAACTTAACATTAAGTTTACATAATTATTTAGGGGACCTATCATGCAAAATGCACTTTTTATGTCTTTTATACATACATATGTGTCCCCGGTGTGTCGGGGAACTCACGCGGCGTCAGAAAATAAAACCCTTTCTATTTTCCTCCGTACCCAAATCTCTAAAAACGGGGGAACAACGGAGCTGATCCAGATTTGCGTCCGATATGACGTAATATCTGAAATGTAGATTGGCTTTACACCCACGGCCCTATCAGAAACGTTGCTATCAGAAACAATGCCCGACTGTTTTGGACGTAGGCTAATATGGTCGGTGCATGTTTATAGCATCGCTAACACTCAGAGCTAACCTGTACTCAGGGTTGGGAGGGTTACTTTGTAAATGTAATCAGTTACTGATTACTGAATACATGGCTCTGAAAGTAATCAGAATACAGCTACAGTTACGTGTCTTAAAAAAGTATTCAGATTACTTTTAGATTACTTTTGGATTACTTTCTTTTTCCATCACAGATGGGTATGTTTTGGTGTACAGGAGACACAAAAAGCAAAAGGAAACTGAACGTGTTTTTACTGTTTTAATGGCTTATCAAGAGCACAACTGAAACATAACATCTGAAACGATGTAACAACATAATAAACTTTTTGGGGATGCAGCTTGGGATGTGAGGAGTGAGGGACACGGCTTAGAAAGGGCGTGTTGCCTTCTGTCCTGCCAGTGTTGGCAGGACATGAATTAAAATGTCAANTGTCAGTCAAAACAGAAGTCGCCGGAGCGTCAAAACAGCGGTGGCAGTCCTAGCGGAGTGAGAGAAAACTTCTTTAACCTTTTCACGGGTCAAACACATTAGGGGGGGGGGGGGGCTGCGAGCAGTGAGAGAGGAGGGAAGGCGGAGGAGACAGAGCCACCTTGACACGAGAGTTCAAACGAGACCAAATACTAATTTCACACACTACCTCTCATCCCAAGATTGCCTTCGTGGGGACGTCGGCCGCCGTCGGAGGTCCTTTCGACTCTACCACCACTTCCTCCTTCTCCTCCACCACCCATGTCCGGAGACGAAGTCTACTTGATGTCCGTCTCAAAAAGGAGGAGTGCAACCATTTCTAAACTTCTCTTATTGCCAGACTTCGACGAGGTGACGTGAAGGTCCCATAGGAGAGAGTTCTTCCGACCTCTTACTTCTCCTTCAATCTTCACTCTAAGAAAAAGGGTCGGACTTTTTCTCTCAGTAACACCAATAAATAATAACTACACGGCATGGAAGTCCGACAACGACGTTTCAAGTGACCAATCGCACGGGATTGTGACCACAAGGCAGGAGGAACAAAGAAGACTTATCTGTGACTTACTGAAAAACAGGAAAAGGTTGACTGGACAACTTTAAAAGTAAAGTTGTGTGTGTGTGTGTGTGTGTGTGTGTGTGTGTGTGTGTGTGTGTGTGTGTGTGTGTAGCTGTGTTCCTGTTTAGTGATTACTTGAAGCTAGCACCAATGTGTTCATTCTGTCTTGGGGTACGGACTCTACCACACCAAACTCCTTTTAAAATCAGGCACATTTTAAAGAGCGGTGTCGTATTTCTGAGTTGTCAAAGTAATACTTCTTCACTATTTTTTTTGTTAGAGAAGATCCATATCATTTAAATGGAGTCTGTGATTAGCTTAGCTTAGCAAAGGCTAGCTTTGAGGCTTTCAAAAAACATCTACACCAGGAGTTTGGTG